ACTGAGACCTAACATTTTTAGGTGGCCCACTTCAGGAATTCTTACCCTACTTTAAAAACATGAGATACTATGTGATATGTACAAGCAGTTTTAAAAAGATAACATTTTCGCCAAAAACTTATTTCAATCGGGTTCAGCATTGGCGAATATGGTTCCAGGCGTGTTGCCTTTTCTGTAGCGTTAAAATTGTTGATCGAATTTTGCAAATGGGAGTAGCACGAAGCATAATCGCACAACAAAATCTGGAAGGTTGTTGCCTATCTTGTTGCCTTTGTATCCCTTTGCATGTATCCGATTGTGGCTATAGCTCCGATAAGATGAATGTTCGGCCCACGCGAGTTAAGTCAACCACCCATTCCAAAAATTCAACCAACTCACTTCCAGTTAATTGGCAACAAAAGCTTAGTATCAGATTTCAAATATGTACATAAATTGCTAACTTAAATAATAAGAAATTGCTTAACTGTAAATGGATTAATCAACATTTTCTTTACTCCAGTTATTACGAAATGTCAAATCAGCATTTTTTCATTTCAACAAATGTTAGCTGAGTCAGAAAATAAAAATCATAAATCATCAGTCATGAAGAATTACGAGTTCAATAAAGTTACTTAAAAAGTTAAACTCGTGATTTTTTTGTGGGATTGACGTATCAATCCCTTTCTACGCAGTCTACGGAACAACTCCAAAGAATTGGTTATCGAACACAACGCGGAAAACTGAAGTTTGCCATCGCGACTTAAATTCCGAACAGTTAAAAGACTTATCCCGAAGGATAGTCAGAAAACCGTGACTTAAATTCCGAAGAATTTATGTGAAATTAAACTGTTACTCCCGAAGGATAACAAAACAAAAAAAGAATACCAAACAGTGTGTTTGTGAAAAAACAACATTACATCCATAACATGTCTAGCAGCAATATTATCCGGAACGGATCTTTTGAAGGAAGCAGCCCGAATAAAATAATTTCGGGGTACCAAAGAATACGATTTATCGTCATTTATAAGAGAAGTAGAGCTAATTATACCACTATTTGGGGAAAACTCCCTTCTGCAACAATTTGTTTTCGTACGGCACGTCAGCGACAAAATATATAGCGTGGCGACGAATAACTGTTACCCAGGTTTTTTTGAGAAATAAAAGGGTCCTTTATAGCTTTTGCGAAAAAAGTATTTTATTGTTAATTTTCCACAGATTTTACTTTAGCTGTATTAATTAGTTTTTAAATTTTAATCCTTAATTACATTTGTCAGCAGTGTAAACTTTGAGAGAAAAGTTCCCTTGGGACGCAATACTTTTTTCGCGAAATCTATAAAGGACCCCTTTATTTCTCAAAAAAAAAAACCTGGGTAACAGTTATTCGTCGGTCGGCCGCTGTGGTGTAGTGGTAAGCAGTGCGCGCTTCCACCCCGCAGCACCTGGGTTCAAACCCTGGTCAAAGCAACATCGCAAAAAATATAGAAAAAAAAATTTTTCTTAACAGCGGTCATCCCTCGGCAGGCAATGGCGTTCCTCCGAGTGTTTTTCCTTCTCATAAAAATACAATCGCCGTTCGGAGTCGGCGTAAAACTTCATCAAGGCGCACGTCACAAGTCGGAGGAGAAGCTCGGCCAAACACTAACATATGTGAAAGCGCCAATCTAAACAAAAAAACAGTTATTCGTCGCCACGCTGCACAGTGTTTCTACTATATGGAGGCAGGTGGAAATAATAGTACACCTGCACCGATTTCAGTGATACTTGACATGTGCTCTAGTTTTACTTAGAGATAGAGAACTATGAAATTTTGTAAACATGGAATAATTGCCACGCCCTTTCCTCTTGTGGGCGGAAACATTAAATTTCATCCGAATTCGTTGCAATTTAGTTCGTAGCCTTTATTTTATTAGAAAAACCTAAATATAAAATATGGGGAAGATTGGATCACTATAACGCCCAAAACTCACAAAAAATGTGGGCCAGTCATTAAATGTGATGGAATTTTGTTTAATTTTTGTTTTCTGCTTTTCACTCTCAGAAAACAAAGGTAATACTATAACATGATTTAGGTGTAAATACTCGCTTTTTCCCCAATGTTTGGGGAGATTTTTACATTATTCGAAAAATTCTTTTTCCGAAATTATGCAAAAAGCTGAAAATCAAAAATTACATATATTTGCAAAGTCGCGCGCAAAGATCAAATTATATATTCGAAAACTACATAAAATTATGTAAAACATTGGTCTAATTTCAAGACCTGACGGACCGGTTCTCACACTTTTTTTTTACTAATGATCTTTAGCATCTGCATTTTAAAGTAAATTTTTTGGTAAGAAAATAGGAAAGTACCAAATAAATGATAAATACCTTCACCTGAATATTCCACGCCATTCAAATAATTGATTACAGTTGAAAAAGAAACACTTTCTTTAATG